CAAGAGATAAAAGCTCCAGCGAAAATATCATTTCAAACAAAGCAAATGGCGACGAATGAATTGTTCACTCTGAAATAAACATTCACTAACTTTATGTAATAACTCTTTTAATTAAATATCTATTAATCAATTAAACATTGAACTAAAAGGTAATAATACTGGTAAATGATGCTATTGGATTACTGAGTGTAAATATTGCACAAAAAAAAGAAACTAATACACAGATGCGATTTTTCTAGATGAAAATTAAAACTGTAGAAGAGTTTTTTTTAATAATGTTAATTCATTTTTACCAAATAAGCACTAATTTAAACATTTCTAGTAAGACTGATGCTATTTTAAAGATTCAACCGCTATAACTAATTGATTTCAAATTTGATCGTTAGAAACTTCTTTGGTTAATTTCAAGTACATCGCCAAATCGGATCACGAGTCTGCCAGTCCTGTACATCTCTCTTTCAACGAAGTACAAACATAGAGCATGTAATTTTGCATAGCTCTTTGTATTTATTTTGTTTTGTTGAATGTAAAACAAAAAGTCTCAAAAACTAAAACGTTCTTGACGGAGGAAGAAGGAACACTGTATTACTTTTGAGTACTTTAGATGATAAGTATTGTTTTCATGCTCTGCAAATGGATATATTATTCATACTTTAATTAGTCTTTTCGATTATCCTGGTAAAAATCCATTTATTCATCAGAAGACTATAACGAAGTAAACATATTTCCAATTCTCTAATAGCCTATGTCGAATTTTTTCATGTTGAATCGTAATGTAACAGCAATTTCAGAACAAAATGAATACCATATTCAACATCAGCATACACGTTGCTGCAAAAATAGTTTTTACAATCAATGTATCGAGTTGAGGGAGATATGAACAAAACTCGAGAAAATAAGCAATTAGCACAATTTCTGTGAGATTAAAATGTAAAACACGATGTAACTACTATTACTTATCAAACGGATATTGTTTATTATGTCTATTTTGAAGCCCATTTCTTCACTCGTCTTTTATTTAATCTTACAGAAATACGATACTAAATAGTTAACATATTGTAATGAACCGTTTTTGATATATGGTCTGTGATCGTATACTCCTTTGAAATCATGTGTCACAAAACTGCTGAATAGGACTACCTCAATTTTTTCTGTATAAATTGTCTTTTTTACTGAAATGTGTGTCGATTTTTAATATGGTATTCATTATGTTCTGAAATTGATGTTAGATTACGATTCAACATGAAAATGGTCGACATAGACTACTAGAAAATTTATAAAATGATCCTTTTGTTACAATCTTTCGATGAAGATGAATCTTACGACAGCACAGATTTATAGAGTCTGAGTGGCACAGCTTTCAATTATAGAGAGTTTTTGTGCTAATTGAATTTTTAATAATAATAGCACGCTGAAGATGTATAAAAAGTTGCTCCTATTATAAAAGAATCGTATAGATCAAAACTATTCAACTCTCGATAATCTAAGAGACAAATTAACATTAAATATGAATAATGTATTCATTTTCTAGAGCATGAAAACCTACTTTCATTTACATTAATAATTTTCATCTTGAGTTTACAAAAGAAAAAATTATAACAATCATACTTATTATCTAAAATACTCAAAAGTAATAGAACACTCTTCCGGCTCTCGTCAAGGACATTCTAGTTTTTGAAACTTTATGTTTTTCACTTAACAAAAGAAAATAAATACACAAAAACTGAAAACTTTCATGCTCTGTGTTTATACTCTGTTGAAAGTGAAATGTAGAGAGGTAGTAAAATTACAGTCATATTCAACGGTATGCATTACTATGAATACAATTATCACAGCTAATGTCAAAGATTTTATACTAATAATTAAAAAGTTGAGAGAAGTTTAAATATTTTTGAACAACGAAAGAATCTTTTTTTCTTGCTTCACTTTCTCCTTTCTCTTCTGGCTAGTAGCGCCACTTGAAAAGTACCATTGACAAATGTATTGCGTTCTTTTTCAATCTTCCGTTCTCTTTCTCTTCACTTAGTAATGATGATGAAAAAAAAAATTTTTTTTTAACGAAAAAGAGAAACCATTCTTATGCAATCCATCACATTGAATAATGTCAACTACATTCGATTCACAACTAAAATCAATTCTTCAACCATTGTCATCTGTAGATGATGCAAATGGAGATCCTGTACTTGCTGCTGTTCAAGCAAATGATCACAATACTCTTCGAATTCTTGTTCGAGCTGGTTATTCACTTAGTTCTATTGATTCATCAAATGGACGATCACTTCTTCACATAGCAACATATCTCGGTCATATAGATGTTGTACGACGATTACTTAAAGAAGGTATTAATACATCATTACATGATCGAGATGGAAAAACATGTCTTCATGTCGCAGCAGCATATGGTTACAGTCAAATATTAACATTACTTCTTAAATATGAAAGTCATGTTGAACATGTTGATTATGATAATAATACACCATTACATATGTCTTGTAAATTTGGTCATAATGAATGTTGTCGTTTACTTATTTATGCTGGTGCAAATTTAAATGCAATTAATCGAGATGGTGATACTCCATTACATTCTGCTATTCGATATAAACATGCAGGTTTATTAAAAAAAAAAAGAAAATTGAAAATAACTAATATCCATTTCAAAAAAAAGAAAAATATTGGATATTGTTTGAATAAATTTCGATAGAAACAAGATAGAAAACTGCGGTTTTCTCCGTTCGAAAAACGAGATGAAACTTCATCGAACGGTATATATCATATTTTTCTAAAATGACATCTCAACAGTTCTGATCAAGTTTATCGAAAAAATGTATGTTTTTTTCATAGGTTGAAACCGCGCACTATTTGTCAAAAAGTACGACGAGAAGCCGTTTTTCAGGAAAATTCGGGGGGAAAAAATTTAGTCAAAATATATAAATCTCACGATAGATTCGAACTACTAAAGTCGGATTTGCACGGTTTGGACACCTTTAGTTGGCGGTTCTAATGCATTTCTGGAAATCAAATTCTCTGAACTCTCACACGGCTAAAGACTTTGTTTTCGATAAACTTGACCAGAACCCTTGAGAAACCATTTTAGAAAAATGTGATATATACAGTTCGATACAGTTTTATCTCATTTTTCGAATGGTGAAAAGCACAGCTTTTTATCTTGTTTCTATCGAAAGTTATTCAGAAAATACTCAACCTTTTTCTTTTTTGAAATGGATATTAATTTGAAATTCTCTTTTGTTTTTTTTTTGTTGTAGGTTGTACAGCAATATTAATTCATGCTGATGCATCTTTAAATATTCGAAATAGTCATCATGAATTACCTATTGAATTAGCAAGACGTTTAGGTCATCATAAAATTTATAATATAATTCTTCAAAGTCTTTCATTATTATCACAATCATCAAATCAATCTGAACCAACCTCAACTCCAAATTCATCTATAACATTAAGTGATTTTGAAAAACAATGGCGTCAGTTTCATTTACTTATTCAAACACGAATGCTTGCTAATCAACATCAACTTGAAGAACAAATTGATTCATTAAAAGATGCTATGAATAAAAATCAATTAAAACAAGCTATTATTCATCGAAAACTTCAAACATTAACGAATTTATATATTCAACAAAATAAACAAGTACATCACTATGATACATTATTTTAGAAAAAAAAAAACAAAAACAAATTAAATGCTTCTTTTCTTTTTTTTGATAAAAATTATAATATAAATAAAATTATTTTGTGTTAATTTATAATAATGAAAAATGATAATAAACATAATCACAATTAATTTCATAGA